TTTTTTTTTTTTTTTTTTTTTTAGTTCCTGATTTTTTGTTAAAAAAGAATACTAGCAAGAAGAACATTTAGTGACACTTGAAGTGGTTTATTCAATTAAATCTATTGTGAAAGTAGTTAGTAAGTCGCCCACAAATATTATTGTACGAAAACAAATTATTTGTACCCAATATTTATGCAAAAATAATAATTGTGAAGCTGTAATTAAGTTATATTGTTCAAAATGAATTATCTCTTGACGTTGAAATCCAGTGTAACTTGATCTCGTAGTTATGCTTGTCCTCCTCAAAATACCTATAAATTCTCCATACAAAAGTAACATCACGACTCTTTCATCTTGTGCAAAAAATTACTCTTCTTTACTCTGATTTTATATGGTGGAGTAACGGTGTTTAGCAGGACAAGAACGTAAATGTTCCTTTTGATTTATATATCAGTACATTGGAAGAAAACGTTAAAATGATGTTGAAAAATCAATTAGATAGTAACAAATACCATATTACATTTGAATTGTTAAAATTATTTAGAAATAAATACCATTAATAGAACAATGATTAACTTTTTAGGAAGTTCTAAAGTAAAATAATGTCATGTATGCTGAGATGAAGGAAGAACTTTCTTCTGTGTGTGGTTATATCTAAAAGAAAAATGGCAATACAAAATAATAAGACAACGCGGAGATTCACACCCCAGCACACACACACACACAATCACAGGCAGTTTAGCCAAGGCGTGCACCATGAAGCTTTTTCCGTAAGTTTATTTTGTCGTCAACATTAAAACGTGTAAAATTTGAATTCTATTAAAATTCGTCTCCAAATAATTTTTTACTTTTTAATCTTCATTATTTGACTATAATAATCTATAATTTTGTTCTACAATCGAGAATTAGGCAATTTACAATATTATTATGTACATATATTATGAATGTCAAGATATATAGTTAAATCAATGTTTTTATTGGTTTACACAATTTTTAGACATATTTTACTATACATTTTTTATTTCATATATTAATCAATCTTTAAATGTCACTTTTGTTTTTAAATGTATTAAAAATTTAAATTTCATGGGAGATACCCACAGTGCTTGGGACTTATGTCATGGCCAATGATAGGTAAAACACGGTATGTCATTATCTAACAATTGGCTTATAAACTTGCCTCCGCGTTAACTTGGAGGAGATGTACATGTTCATGGCACTGGATTTATAACTTTCTAGCG